AAATGAGATGGGCTAATCTCCAGAAATTATTCCCTCTATTAAATTTTTCATTCTGGTTGTCCAGGATTTCTTCGATTTGTTGTTTCCTTAGGTTTTCTTTGATCCCATTCAAGTCACCAAAAGTTTGACCATTTCTTCATTATTATAGGTTGTAGCAGCTGTTGGTTTTAAGGGGAAAAGGCTTGAGATTCCACAGGATATGAATCCTCAGATTGCAGCTATTATTGTATCCTGCTGGGCCAAGTGAGTTATATATCTACTTCCAATTGATGTTCGCAATGTGCAGAATCATTTTTAGTTGATAATCTTGAACTTGTTTATCTCTGTTCATTATTTTGGTGTCTGAATACAAATTGAGATCGTATTAATAGTTCATTGTGCCCCAACTCGACCTAAAAGTTCTATGCATTCTGTGATCTCCAAAAGTAAACGAGTCTGAGAGCTGATGCTCTTTTTTCTTTTTCTTTTTTTCTTTTTTTTTTTCCTAAAAATATAAAAATAAATTTTGCAGCGAGCCATGGAAACGGCCCTCGTTTTCAAGTATCATGGAATCTTTGAGACCATTCGTTAAATCACCCCCAACAACTCGTCCGGGCCGTAAGGAAATGCCTTTCTTCATGTGAAGCTCCAGACATGAATAAAGCTAAATTATTGCAAGGTTTGTTCTCGTAATGCCCCTTGATTTCTACTAATTCTAAGCCATCGAAACATTTTTTTTTGTTTTTTTCAGCCTTTGATTGTTACAGAGTAGGACATTGATATTCCAAGGCATTGACAACAAAATGACTGTCTTTTGTACCATATACCGCAAACACAACCATGTGACGGTTATATAAATTTCTTTCAATATCGCTGATAAGGCCGGTTATCGAAAATACTCGTCTGACGCATATTTGCTCACCATGCTTTTTGCAGGTTCACCCGTATTAACGTAAGGAAACTGTTGATTTCCATTTTACAAGCTTCAGCCTTGTGAATTTTCTATGTTACCACGTGTTGATACTTACAACTGTATTTGTGTGATTATGAAGCGTGTAAAATTAGTCCATCCCAAAAAGGACAAATTTCTACGTAATGTGTTGATAATGTATTGATATGTATCATCCTGAAATTTGTGTAAACCCGCGTAATAGCTTTATGACAACTTTAAACGAACTTATCGTTGTGTTCTAAGCGATGGAATCTACAGCCGTTCCTTTCACTGTTTGATATGAAATGTGATAATAAAAACAACAGAAAAACTCGAACAAGATGTATCACGGCGCTTTACCTTTGTTTTATTTTCAACCTGATGAGTCTGAATGTACAAAAAATGAGAACAGAGATAGCCTGTGAACTCGAGCACTGTGCAAAACATCCACATTTCATATGACAAATGTAACAAAAACAAAAACAACGCAGAGCAAAGGGCTCTCTCGAGCTAATAGAATCTACGAATGCATACCCCTTCGAGCTAACAGTGTGTTATTACAAACTTGGAGTTGACTCCGAACAAGTATTATTACAAACTGGTTAAATTAAGTCCACCTTTCTGCAGTTCTTTATTCCATCTACTTAGGCAGATAATGCTGCTAAATACAAGAGACTTAACAAACCATATATACTCACAGCCTGCTTATTTCCCAAAAGGCGCTTTATACCTGCAGATTCACAACTCATAGCTACATAATTAGTCAGAGGCCTAAATCAGGAAAACAGTATTATAGCCAGCACAACCATCTTCTTCAAGTATTTAATAGAAATGCATATATTTCCTAAGTTCCTTACCTGTGATAGTGTCCGGAGCCACTATCTCAAGCCGCCAAATCCGATCTCCTAAAAGGTGTTGCAAACCTGCGTACGCACAACTCAAAAGAGACACACATTAATCGCAATTTATGTTTTTTATTTTTTTTTCGTGCAAGCACATCAACTACAACATATTCACCCTAATGCTACAGAGCAATCAAGACAACCAAATAAAAACAAAATCAAATAAAATGATATCAGAAGTGGAGAAAGAAATAGAACTTGACAATCAAAAAATAAGAAAAAAAATTGATAGATAACACTATAGTTCAGTTCTATATTAGCAATCAACAAAAAACCAACCACACCATATTATATGCATCATGCTATCAATCCAAACTATACTTTAAAGACCCTAAAAGGAGCCTTGTTTTATTTAGTAACTATATTCATTCCTAGTCATGGTTCTCTTTTTTCTCTAACTCGTTAAAAGGGGAGGAGTCTTCATTCGGCCACCTCTCGACACCCGAACTCTCATCAGGCTTCTGCATTGACCCTAATTCCCAAATATCCGAAATACCCCCTAATTCATGCATATTATAATCATCACCAGCATTACCCCATAAATCGGACTCGAATCCCATGCCCCCCCAAATTCCCTCCTCCTCAATGGCCACAATCTTAGGAAAAATCTTCTCCTTCCCCATATCCTCAGGAAATGAGATGAAATAATCTGGTCCTGGTTGGACCTGTGGGTGTGGTGGGCCCATAACACCCTTTCCTTTATAATCAAGGTCCACCGTTCCTCGGCCCATATCCATTCCAGCTAGCTCGGGTGCACCAAGAATCTCATCCATCGTCAAAAGCTCATCTTTTACATCATCTTCAACCTGAAAAGGTAAATTATCAGTAGAATCAGTACCAAGAACTGGACTTTCTCCCATTTCCAATAACGGGTATTTGACGAATTCTCCTTTAGGGGAAGAACCAGATGCTCCCGTTTCATGGGACTGATGTTTAATGAATTTTCTTGCTGTCCTAGGTGAGGTGATGTTTTTTTGCTCCTTTGTATGGGATAAAAAGGCAGGGTTTTGGAATATTTTCCCCATAAACGAGACCATCCGCTTTTGTCTTCTCTCGGCCGAATGGATCTTCTCGTTTACAATTCCCATGTGCTGCATGGTCCCTCTTTGCTGATGCTGTAGCTCGAACACTTCTTGCATCATTAAACTTCTCTCTTTCCTCAGATGCTCGATTTCGGCCTCCACAGCAGCAGATTTATTCGAATCGCGAGAGGATCCACCGGATGAGGAACTCATCGAGTGATGTGATTTACGCCTTTGGATGTGTTTCAGCATTTGCTTCTGCCCCTTTCTGAATCCTTCGTTCGCAAACTCCCATTTGTCTGTATCGACTTTACGAAATCCCTGTGTATATGTAAAAACACCAAATTACACACACAAACAAGAAAAGAAAAAAATAAAATGAACCCGAAAAAATTCCAGAAGCAAACATTATGTCATCAGCACGATCAGCACAGGCTAAATATTCTTATAGTAGGTTGAGCTGAACACCCTAAATAGAAACAAGATCAACACAACTTTTTAAATTTGAAATCGAGTTCACGGAATGAATTGATAACACGTAAAGCTTAAAGAAAATTCTACCTGCAAAGGGATAGGGACATTCCAATCCACTAATTGCTGAGATGAGGAGATGCACCGTGCGTTAAGCGTTATTTTAATAATACTAAAAACAAGTCGATACATCATCACGATTCAAACAATAACAGCAAGCTTAATACACGAAATCGATCCATGACATATTACTGATGCTCAAAGATAAAAACAAGCTTAGGTACAAAAAAAAATGTCCTTCCTATTTTCTGTACAAACCAGTCTCCGATTTTCTTTTCTTTTCTCTATTTACAAATTACATCATAGGTACATCATCTTCAGAGGATCACAGCTATCCACGATTACATACAAAAAAACAACAAAAAAACGCAAAATTTACAGGAAAGGAGCCAATGCCACAACAATTTACAGGAAAGTCCAACAAAAAAAATTACACAGACAAAAATCAAAAACAACAAATGAACATAAAAAAGAAGAAAAAAGAAAAAACGAAGTATCACAAGTTATAATTCAACATTTGTATGCACGATACCCACATATGTATTGAGCTGCCGAACAAAACTCGAGAAATTGTTGTGCTTGAAATTCCTCGGCAGCACAGTCCTAGCGAACTCGAGTGGGTCCCACACGACAAAGCTCTCTCCTTTCGTCCCCCACGAGATCACGGCGTCCAGCGACGGGTCCTCGACCAAATCAAACGTCTTGGACAGGAAAGGCGGCACCGGAGTTTCGTACAGCGCCTCCAGCGGCTGCGGCACGCCGGATAAATTCTCACCCGCCGCCTGCTCGAGATAGGGTTCCGGTTGGAGCTCGAACGGCCCAAACCCTGAGAAGGGCGGCAGCTCGGGAAACGGGGACGCCATGGATAAGGGCTCGGCGAACGTCGGCGCCGCCTCGTGCTGGCCGCCGGAGGAAACTGGCGGCGGCGGGTTATATTCTTTGGGCTCCATTGAAGCTTCTCGAACGAGGGCTCACGGCGAGATTCGAGCTGAAAATGGAGCTGAAATCGAAATGGGTTTTCTCTATTTTTCTTCCTTTTTCTTGGGTTTTGTTTGGTTTTTGCCGGGAGGCGAAATTGGTCGGCCGGTAGTGGGACGCGGTGAATATATATAGGTATCGCCGACTGAAATTTCCGAAAAAGGAAAAAAAAAATGAAAATGGGTAAGGCGGTGGAGGCCTGTGGCTGCCCTGCATTTTCCTCCTCTGCGCATTTTTTCAAGGACGGCGAAAAAATCACAAAGGTACAGTTTTTTGTGAGTGTGCTTGTTTGAGTGAATTTATTTGAATAAAATCTAGCAATAAATCATGTGGGGCAATAGGGGGCGAGATATTTTTGCTCATGTGGTGTTCTTGAACTGTTTTTTTCTGGGTATGGTCAAATTATTCAAAGGCTGCGCCATTGGAGGTCTGAGATTTTGTTGGGTGGCGTCACTTGATAGGCTGAGACTGATTTTAGTTCTTTTTTTTTTCGTTGTTTTTTTTTTCCTGTTATTTTATCATTGCAGCCAATGAGAATCGAGTAAAGATTAGGGATATCTTTGTTAAGATTGTGTGAGGCGGGGCCATCATGGCAAAGCTTATTGATTAAGTAATCTAATAACCGTGTTTCTCTGTTGGGATTATTTGCATATTAGTCCCTTAATTGTAGAGCACTATCAGTTTTGTCCTATTAAGTAAGTAGTTATTATTACAGGTGTTAAACGAATCGGTTCTCGTAAAACTCGATTTTGACTCGGTTCGTGTGACAAAACGATCCAAGTTATAGCTCGTTGAGTTGATGAACCAGACTCAGCTCGCCTCATTAAAGCTTCAAATGTACTTTTATATATAATCTTTTATGACCCGGTCATTAAGGTTCAAGTTCAACTCGTTAATATCGATAAACGAGGTGGGCTTGATCTTGATTACTAGCTCGTTTAGTCAACAAGTTGAGCGGTCGGCTTGTAAAGTCTCGAGCTCATATACCATGAGCCTAGGTATGGGCCGACCCGAATCCCGAAAAAAAAAAAATCCAGCCCGACCGATCATATCATCGAAATGGCCGACCTTGAATCGACTCGGTTAAAATCCCGATCGAGCCAGACTCGCTGACTATGAGTCTGACCGGACCTGGTCCGTGTCGGGAGGCCCGTTGCCATGTCTAATCGTCAACTTTACTGTAGTCGCGTTATACCAGTACCTATATCTTCTTTATGGTTGTTTTGATTATTGACGGTGTGTATTTCGAACGTTGTTATTAAACAACCTAATCATTATGTAGGTTAGGTAGATACACATACAATATTTTTTGAATTATAATATAAACTAGTACAATACGCGTGTACTGCACTGATGTTAGATAAATTATTAAATGTAAAACAAAAAATGAAAGAAAAAAGTTTATATATTTTGTTGGAGTTGGAAAAAAATACATAAAGAACAATACATTACATTAATTTATGTTAAAGAACTAAGTGAATTTAAAATATTATTTTAAATTCTGAAAACTAGTTCATATACATCATTTTTTTTATTTACAATTTTTTTTTAACTCATAAAAGAATATTATGGAAAAAGCACAAAATTTGAAAGTGAGATAATATGCACATAATATATGGAATAGTTTAAATATATTAGCTATTGTATTTATGGCAATTCAAACCTAAACTATTTGGTATATAAAGTGTAGTATTTTCATCCGAGTCATATTACAAAGCGTAATATTTTGCCACATAAGATTACAAAGCATACAAAGCAGTCACTTAGGCTCAACTTGTTTTTAATCATATATTAGTGGGATGGGATTTATATTGTGAAATATAATTCCTTAATCTATATTACATTTTAAGTAAAAAAATATATAAATAAAACATACATATACATAACATTTTTTTATTTTTTTTTTGGTACAATACATATACCTAACATTGGAAAAGCGTAACGAGCCTTTTGCATATATGTTATCCATAAAGATGAAATAGGCGATGCACCACCTACAAGTTACACAACAGCCTAGCCCCTTCCCAACCTAATTTTCTCAGGCCCAACAAATCTAGCCCAACCCACTAAGCTAACCGAATCGAACGGCCCTTTTACCCTTCTGTCTCATCGTCTTTTAGCTTAATAAAAGGATGATTTACAGGCTCTCGTCCCGTCTCGCTGCAACTCTCAATTCACCATTCAAACCCCAAAAAACCCTATCTCACCATCCTCTAGCTGGCCCCTCACTTCCCGAGCACCAAAAGTGACGAATTGTAATTTTTGGATGTTTTGTTTTTGTTACTGTTCGGCTTTTGTATTGTTAGGAATTCTTTAGATTACGCTACAAATTTCAAATTACTGAAGTTAGGGTTCATAGATTTTGTGATTCTTTTGTAATTAGCTTCAATGAAGCCGCTATTTTTAGTGGTTAGTGAATCGTGTTCGTTTGTGTATCTGTTGAGGTGTACTGTAACAGTATAGGGTTAAGGATGAGGAATTTGATGTAGATTAGTTTTTCTCCCCCTTTTTTTCGGCTTTTTTTGATTGGAATGGATAGTACACGTTGGCCATTCGATAGATCTTTCTCCAAAGAAACCTAGGCTCGCCGAGGACCCTACCGCACCAGATCGCATCTCCAATGGCCGTGCGGGGATCTTTCAGCGGCCGGCGGTTCCTAATTCGAGCTTTGGCGGAGGCCCGCGTGCCCATAGGGACTGAGATTCAGAGGGGAGCGACCCCGTGCGTGGGGCTTACCAGCTGAAGCCGGGTCAGCAGGAGCTGGTGGCTCAGTACAAGACGGCTTTATCTGAGCTGGTCCCAAGGCCAACGTCCTGCTCATAACATTCATGTAAACCCCAAGTATTTGGAGGCAAGGCGGCTTCAGATCACTAGAGTAAGTGCCTCCTGATTGTCAATTGCCAATAGCTGTTTTTTTTTTTTTTAAATAATAATAATTAAGCATCAATTCTATTGCAAAAACCAATGCTTTTAGTGAGCATTTCACTTCAAATACTTGATATGATTCATTGTCCCATCCTTTGGATTAGACTATTTGTGCGACTCATGTGTGTTTTACACTTGTCTTTAATATAAATGTAGGCAAGAGGAGGTGGCAGTGACAATAATGAAGCCCTGGTGAGCTCCCACGAGGATGCTGAAGCACTGGATAGGACAACCAGTATTAGTTCGGGGAAATCATGGGCTAATGCGTATGCTAAGGTATGAGGGGAAAATGTTATCTAGCACGAGTATTCGTTGTTAAAGGATAATGGCACTTGCCGGGCACATTACTCATTATCGCATGTTGTGATGCATACCACAATGGGAGTGCATTGAGCAATATAATCAACATCTAGCTATTCATAAAAAGATTCAACTACTAGGAAAATGAAATTCATCAATATAACTATTGTTCAAGAAAAATTAGCAAATAGAAGTAATTTCAGTAATACAAGAATATTAGCAAATAAAAGTCAAATTCGGACAAAGTTCAGCCTTAACTCTATAATATAAATATAATTTAACAATAGTACGAAACTCATGTTTCAGCTGAAAACGTCAAGGCCCTCAACACCTGGCTGTACCTCAACCTCATCCCCATCGACACCAACTGGAAAGAAAGAGTCTCCTCCCTTGGCTGGGCCCACACCCCACCTATCCACGCCCTACTCCACGAATGGCACGACTACCTCGAAAAGCTCTCAGACGATCCTGCGCGGGCCAGTGTGAACAAATTTGCAGCTACAGTGAAGACGATATGGCAAAGGAGGAGTTCGAGCTGAGGGCCATGAGGGCCAAATGTGCTGATCGAGAAATGAGCTGGCCCGGAAAATAAGGAATTTCATGAATTGGTCCATCATGTACATGCAGAAACCGGGCAGGTATGGATGAGGGCCCGGATGAGGCGGGCCCTGATGAGGTAAGGGACGAGGAGCTCGTTTGCAGAAGGTGAAGGAGGATCACATTAGGGAGAAAAAGAAAAACAAGAAACTCAACAAAGCATTTTTATCCACTGCACTATGTTTCTAATTCGAGTTTCCAACATAAAGCACACCAATTCCAAAATAAAGCACAACACCCGTAGTTTTCAACATAAAGCACACCAATTTCAAAATAAAGCACACCAAGTTTTCAACATTACACGTCTCTACAGGTTGGTATCAGACAAGAAGCCAATGAATTGATAATTGGCATACGTATCCTACGCCTCCTTCAGAAATCGGGTGACTACACCAATAGCTAAACAAATAGCCGGGTAATCTTCTGCTTTTGTATCTAATACACAGGAATCCCATTCACGACCCCCTATATATGTTCAGAAAACTTAAACAACCCAACTCTCAAAAATCTAGTCACCAACAGCATAACACCCCACAAGTATGCATACAATACTATAGCTGAAGGATATTCCTTCAACCGAGCATTGGCATCATTCTCCACTGCCACAATCACCGAGTCAAACACGAGTCGATACCTAATAGGTATGGCAAGTGCCTATTTCAGTCCGCAGCAAGATATGGCGAGTGCCTATTAGGTATCGACTCGTGTCTGACTCGGTGATTGTGGCAGTGGAGAATGATGCCAATGCTCGGTTGAAGGATATTCCTTCAGCTATAGTATTGTATGTATACTTGTGGGGTGTTATGCTGTTGGTGACTGGATTTTTGGGAGTTTGATTGTTTAAGTTTTCTGAGCAATCCAGTCGGTCGTGAATGAGATTCTTGTGTATAGATACAAAACCAGAAGGGTCACTCGGCTATTGGTGTAGTTACCCGATTTCTGAATGAGGCGTACAAACGTAATGACCAATTCATTCGCTTCCTGTCTGATACCAACCTATAGACGTGTAATGTTGAAAACTTGGTTTGCTTTATTTTGGAATTGGTGTGCTTTATGTTGGAACATGGTGTGCTTTATGTTGGAAACTACGGGTGTTTTCTTATTCGAATTGGAAACATCGTTCCTTTCGAAGGAGAATTTGACTGAACTTCGTTCGATTACATTGACCTGACAACGTCAAGTCTCACTTTGCTCGAATTGGAAACATTGTGCAGTGGATAAAAATGCTTTGTTGAGTTTCTTGTTTTTTTTTTTTTCCTGAACACAAAGCTTTTGGTAAGCTTCCTCATCCTCCTTCACCTTCTGCTTGGCCGCCTCCACTACCATCCACTTTTGTGCAACAAGCTCCTCGTCCCTTACCTCATCAGGTCCCGCGTCATCCATACTAGCCCGTTTCTGCATGTACTTGATGGACCAATTCCAGAAATCCCTTATTTTTTGAGCCAACTCATTTCTCGACTCGGCACATTTGGCCCTCAGCTCGAGCTCCTCCTTCATATTGTCTTCACTATAGCTGCGAATTTGTTCACGATAGGCCACGCAGGATCGTCCAGGTGCTTTTCGAGGTAGTCGTGCCATTCGTAGAGTAGGGCCTGGATAGGTGGGGTGTGGGCCCGGCCAGGGGGAGGAGACTTTTTCTTTCCAGTTGGTGTCGATGAGGTTGAGGTACAGTCAGGTGTTGAGGGCCTTGATGTACTCTTTCTGCTGAAACATGAGTTCCGCGAAGTTGGAGTGCCATTCTTGGACAACACCGCACAATTGGCGAGTGCGCTCATGGTGGTCGTCGATCGTTTCTTCTCTCGTTCGAATGGATCCTCTTGTTCACCATCCTCATTTGTTGCATGGTCCCTCTTTGCTGATTCTGTAGCTCGAACGCTTCTTGCATCATTAAACTTCTCTCTTTCCTCAGATGCTCGATTTCGGCCTCCACAGAAGCAGTTTTGTTTGGATAGTTGTATCGTGAGAGGATCCACTGGATGATGAACTCATCGAGTGATGTGATTTGTTGCGCCTTTGGATGTTTTTCAGCATTTGCTTATGTCCTTTTATGAATCCTTCGTTTGCAAACTCCCATTTGTCTGTATCGACTTTACGAAATCCCTATTGTATATGTAAAAAGCACCAAATCAGTGAATTACACACACACACAAAAGAAAAAAAATCCGAGAAAATGCTAGAAGCAAACTTTATTTCATCAGCATGATCAACACACTTTGATGTTACCGTCCGATTTGCACTGAATCACTATGATTCAGTATGACGATTTTTTATTTTCGAGCTTTGTCCGGCCAAAACAATACAATTTTAGTTTTTTTTTTATTATTATCTTGGGAGTGTTTAAAGGAAGTAAATCTATGGTAAAATAGTGTTTTTGGCTTGAATCTCGGCGACTCTAGGTAAGATGAGAGTGACGATTAGGGTTCGGGGTAGAGAGATAGCTAGAGAGGCGCCGATATAATGAGATTGAAATGGTAAATGAATCTCTAGGTTAGGGTTTGGCTTGCTATTAAAAACACCCATCCACAATAATCGAGTTAATTAGGCCCGTAAATTTTTTTGGGCTATTTAAAGCACCCATCAGTCTTTTAAATTTTTTTGGGCTACCGTAATATTTCGGCCCTTAAGTTTATATCTAAAAATCGTGTCAAAAAATCTTTAAATACCAAAGTAAATTTTTGGCCCAATTATTCAATGTCGAACCAAGCTAAAATATAATGTTAAAAACCTTTTACTTTTCTGCCCAATTAAGTTAATTCGGCCCAATTTTTCATTGGTATAAAAACGTTTAACAATTGGTCCATATCATTATTTATCAATCAAACAATAATATTTTTTAATCTTTTGTTGGATACAAATAATAATATTTTTTTTTTTACCATATGTCCATGTGGTTATAGTAAAATATAAAATTATTTAGACAACTAAAACCATTATATATATTTATTACATATATACTATTGATATTGATTTGTATATCACAAACTATGTTGTTTGTTATGTTTGTCCAAATTTCATTTGTGAAACCTTATACAATATCATATTTGACATTATTAGATAAATATACTTTGTATATTCTCAAGTTGAAAATTAACTTTAGTGCACATTTAAACTGTATAAATTAATTATCGTAAATATGTCATCCTACGGTTCTACGTAAACACTTTTGTGCCAAAGACTGACATTCACTAATAATTTGCATTCAGACATTCAAGTTCCTAGTATATTTCCATGTTTTTTTTTTTTTTACTTTTCATATCACTTATCGCTAATGTGATTAGAAGATTATTGGTTATTATTAATTATTTATTAATTTATTTCGTGTTAGATCTTTCATCTGCAAATTATCAACGAGCATCTCAAAACAGTTTTATAATTGACATTATTAATGCTTCGTAGAGCGGTTTTGTGCCTGTTTCAAGATAATCATTTAATTATGATTTTTTAATTATATTTTTTTACTTTTCCTCTATTATATTGTTATCAGTGCAAATACACGGGTTACAACTAGTTAAGGTTCAAGTTCAACTCGTTAATATTGATAAACAAGATGAGCTCGATCTTGATTACTAACTCGATTAATCAACAAGTTGAGCGGTCGTCTTATAAAGTCTCGAGCTCATATACCATAGCTTAGGTACGGGCCGATCCGAATCCCGAACTAGTCCTAAAAAAAATATATAAAAAAAAAAAACTATTTTTCTTCCCAGGCTGACAGGTCATATCATCAAAATGGCTGACCATAAATCGGTCCGATTAAAATCTAGGCCCGGTCCGGACCCGCTGACTATGAGGCTGACCGTACTGGGTCAGTGCTGGGCGGCCCGTGGCCATGTCTAATCGTGAACTTTACTATAGCCGTGTTATACTAGTACCTATATCTTCTTTGTGGTTGTTTTGATTATTGACCGTGTGCATTTCGAACGGTGTTAGTAAACAACCCAACCATTATGTAGGTTAAGTAGATCTACATACAATACTTTTTGAATTATAATATAAACTAGTACGATATCCGTGTACTACACCGGTGTTTGATAAAATATTAAATGTAAAACAAAAATTGAAAGAAAAAAATGTTTATATATTTTGTTGGAGTTGGAAAAAATACATAAAGAACAATACATTACATTAATTTATATTAAAGAACTAAGTGAATTAACAATAGTGTTTTAAATTATGAAAAATAGTTTATAGACATCATTAGTTTTATTTATACAATTTCTTTTAACACATAAAAGAGTAATATGGAAATAACACAAAATTTGAAAGGTGAGATAATATGCACATAGTAATAGAAAGAAGATAATAAATACACTTATATGGAATAGTTTAAATATATTAGATATTCTATTTATGGAAATTCAAACTTAAACTCTTTGGTATATAAAATCTAGTATTTTCATCCGAGCCATATTAGAAGGCGTAATATTTTGCCACATAAAATTATAAAGCATACAAAGCTATAACTTGTTAGGCTCAACTCGTTTTGTAATCATATATTAGCGGGATTTATATTGTGAAATATAATACGATAATCTATATTATATTTTAAATAAAAAAATGAATAAAACATAACATTGAAAAAGCGTAACAAGCATTCGACATATATCTATACTTATATAATAAGGTGTACCATTTACAAAATTTAGTAAGTTAAAAAGTTAATGCAATAAATGCATTACTATTTTGAGCAACATAATATAATATAATATCTATACTTATATAAAAGTAACATAATATAATATCATATCTATACTTATATAAAAGGAGATTCTATTTACTACATTTACTATCCAGAAAAGTCAACTGCATTAAATGTCATTGCTATTTTGGTATTATAATATTTTATTTATTTAATTGATTTATTTATTTTTATTTTAAAAAAGGTAAGTATAATAAAAAGATTTTAATAATAAAAAAATCAAATACCAAATAAAAATGTACACTTTGACTTATTTGATTATATTTGGTATTTGATTATACCAAATATATTCCTATTTAGTATATACATTAAATACTTACTAAAGTATTTATTTGTTTTATTTGTTAAATTTAAATATAGATTTGTTTATATTATCAAATCATAAAAAAAATATTAAATCCATATTTTAAAAAAAAATAAATCATATAATTTTATAACAATTCTACTACACTATTTAAAAATATTCCTTTTTTATTATATAATAAAATAATAATTAAATATTATATGGTGAACAACAATAAGTAAAAGGGTTACTTTCTCTTATATCAAGGGATAAATTTATATGCTAAAATTTAATTTTTATTAGTATAAATGTTTTAGTGAGATAATATATTAATTATTTTACAAGGTAGCCCTAACATGTTCATATTTAATGTTTTAAAAGACGTAGAAAAAATAATAACTCTATTGTTTTTTAGACTTAAACGTTGATTAAAAGAGGTAAATTCCTAATCTTTTAGACTTAAACGTTGATTAACACCATAGATTGAGAGTCTATATTTAGTAAAATTCTTAATTGTAATAAAAAATAATTTTTGCTATATTTTAGAATATCTTTAAATTCACTATAAAAAAAAAAAAAAAGAAAAAAAAAACTACAATGAAAAAAGCAAGTCAGCTATATATCGATTTGTTGTACTCCTCAAATTACATTCACAATTTGGCTACAAGGAAATGAAACTCATTGATTAAAATATTATTTTGTTAGTAGTCTTAATATACAAGAGACTTTAAGACTCCACTTGAATTATTATAAAACTTTTATTGAACATTGTACAATTTTCTTGCGTATTATAAATTTTTATTGAATATTGCATCTTATAATATAATATTCTGCAAATAAATATATCCCGTGCTTCGCACGGGTCACGTACTATATATATCCCGTACATTTTTCTTTATTTATGTATATAATTATAAGCCTGGATAAATAACCTTAAAATTGTGCACCCCGTGCATCGCACAGGCTATGTACTAGTTTTTTTCATAAAGATGAAGACGATTAACCACCTGCAAGTTACAGAACGGGCCTAGCTCCTTCCCAACCTAATTTTCTCAGGCCCAACAAATCCAGCCCAACCCACTAAGCTAACCGAATCGAACGGCCCTTTTACCCTTCTCATCGTCTTTTAGCTTAATAAAAGGATGATTTACAGGCGCCTCGTCCCGTCTCGCTGCAACTCTCAAATCACCACTCAAACCCCAAAAAACCCTATCTCATCATCCTCCCGCTGGCCCCTCACTTCCAGAGCACCAAAAATGGCGAATTGTAATTTTAGGATGTTTTCTTTTTGTTACTATTCGGCTTTTGTATTGTTAGGAATTCTTTAGATTACGCTACAGATTTCAAATTACTGAAGTTAGGGTTCCTAGATTTTGTGATTCTTTTGTAATTAGCTTCAATAAGGCCGCTATTTTTAGTGGTTAGTGAATCGTGTTCGTTTGTGTATCTGTTGAGGTGTACTGTAACAGTGTAGGGTTAAGGATGAGGAATTTGATGTAGATTAGTTTTTCTCCCCCTTTTTTTTCGGCTTTGTTTGATTGGAATGGATAGTACACGGCGACCGTTCGATAGATCTTTCTCCAAAGAACCTGGGCTGAAGAAACCTAGGCTCGCCGAGGACCCTACCGCACCAGATCGCATCTCAAATGGCCGTGCCGGGATCTTTCAGCGGCCGGCGGTTCCTAATTCGAGCTTTGGTGGAGGCCCGCGTGTCCATAGGGACCGAGATTTAGAGGGCAGCGACCCCGTGCGTGGGGCTTACCAGCTGCAGCCGGGTCAGCAGGAGCTGGTGGCTCAGTACAAGACGGCTTTATCTGAGCTGACGTTCAATTCCAAGCCGATTATAACTAACTTGACAATTATTGCCGGTGAGAGTATGCAGGCGGCCAAGGCCATTGCAGCAGCTATCTGCATCAATATCCTTGAGGTGATTTGATTATTTTTTTTTTCTTCCTTTGCTGGTAATGTCTAGTGCTGTGTGGCGTCACTCAGATTGTAAAGTTGTGTAATTGTAATTTGGTTTCGACTAATGGATTCTTTTCCTCATGAAAAAAGAAGAGATGGGGTAGAGGAAGTATGAATTTAGTTTCAGTCTTCCAGAAAGTTTAGATCTTTGCTTTGATGCTCATCCAATCTTGCACATTACTGCGTGTTCACTGGAAACTTTTGGGTTTGAAGACGTTGGTTGACATGTGTGAAAAGATATTAACACTGACTAATTATTTCCACAATCACTAATACCCAATTACACACAGCTAATATATGGTGTTGAATGCGGACAATCTAAAGTTTGATGATCTTTTCCTTTCTAACATTTATTCTCATCTTACCTACCTGCCTTTGCACTTGCAAGGCTATTGGACAATGTTTCATCAGTTTTTTTACATTGTTTGTTGTAAAGACTATGGCGTGTGTTCTTGTTCACTGAAATGGTTGGTGTTGAATTATTTTTATGTTGGTGCCATTTGGATTTAGCATGATTTAGCTTTATTATATGATTGTTTTCAGTTCTTCATTGTTTTACAGTTCTCCATTGTTTCTCTCTCTCTCACACACACATACACACACAGACACTTGCTCTCTCATTCTCCCCTCCTTTTTGGAGTGTTTTCCACCTCATGTACATTTATTCGATCTGCTCTACCAAGCAATTGATAATGTATATTGTAAATTGTAATATTGGATGATTTATCATCAACGATTTGTATAAGTGACTGAAATTTCATTTAACAATTGTTAAGATAAGTATTATTATATATTTATTTGATGATTATTGTCACCCTTCTGTGAATATCTATTCATTGTAATGTGTTATTTGCGTTCTGAAGTACGATTGTTACAGTTGTGATCGGCCTGACTTTGAGACGATCCTTCCACCCAAAGAAACTGTAGTGTATCAGTTTTTTGATTGCACTAAAATGGAGTCCCACAGTGAAGAGTGAATTTCGGATTTTGGCTGCGTATGTGTATGTCTTTAATGATAAAAAAAAAAAAATGCAAAATCGGAGTGATATGGATCACTTCAGAGTTTTAATCTGGAGAATTATTAGTTGTGTTTGGGACCTTGTCTGTCACTTGTTAGTCATATAATACATTTTCTCTGTCGAAGTTGTCATGTTCTGTATACGCTTTCATGTTTTTCTTTTTCCCATTAATTAATAAATGGTATCCCCAAATTTATGGATCTTATGCCTGATCTTGAAAGTTATTTACAGGTTCCTACTGATCAAAAACTGCCATCCCTCTACTTGTTAGACAGTATTGTGAAGAACATTGGGAGGGATTACATAAAATACTTTGCTTCCAGGTTACCCGAGGTCAGATCTCATGAATATAAATATTATTTGCAAAAGTTGTGATTTTAAGTCGTTATGTCACTTTATATAACCTTTGTGTACATACCTTTTTTCCCCTTAATTTCTGTTATCAGCATGACAATCGCTTTCTGGTGCATTTTTCCAGGTTTTCTGCAAGGCCTATAGACAGGTTGACCCTTCAGTACATCCTGGTATGCGCCACCTTTTCGGGACCTGGAAGGGAGTTTTCCCTCCACAGACCCTTCAGATGATAGAGAAGGAACTTGGATTCACTACGGCACCCAATGGTTCTTCGTCCGCAACAACTTCTAGGCCCGAGTCCCAAGGCCAACGTCCTGCTCATAGCATTCATGTAAACCCCAAGTATTTGGAGGCAAGGCGGCTTCAGACCACTAGAGTAAGTGCCTCATGATTGTCTAATGCCAATAGATGTTTTTTTTAATAATAATAATAATAATAATAATAATAATAATAATAATAATAATAATAATAATAAAGTATCAATTCTATTGCAAAGCCCAATGCTTTTAGTGAGCACTATTTCACTTCAAATACTTGATATGATTCATTATTTGTCCCATCCTTTGGAATAGACTATTTGTGCGACTCGTGTGTTTTACACTTTTGTCAATTAATATGAATGTAGGCAAGAGGTGCTGGCAGTGACAATAGTGAAGCCCTGGTGAGCTCCCACGAGGATGCTGAACCACTGGATAGGACAGCGAGTATTAGTTCGGGCAAATCATGGGCTAATCCGTATGCTAAGGTATGAGGGGAAAATGTTATCTAAGTGATCTTTCTTAATCGTAGTTGTTAAAGATAATGGTACTTACCCGGCACATTGCTCGTTATCGTAGCACATGTTTGATGGATATAATAATGTGAGTGCATTGAGCAATATAATCAACTCCTAGCAATTCTTAAAAAGATTCAACTACTAGGAAAATAAAATTCATCAATATAACCATTGTTCAAGAAAATTCAGCAAATAGAAGTAATTTAGTAATACAGGAATATTAGCAAATAAAAGTCTAATTCGGACAAAGTTCAGCATTAACTCTCTAATATAAATAATTTAACAATAGTGCTTGTCATTCTTCAAAAACCGCGCTCCTTGAGGAAGGCACCCGAGAGCACTACACTGCTGCTTTGTTAATGAGCTGCACTATTTTAATAAAATGGTATTGAATATGGGGTGGGTGTAGGCTTCATTTTGTCCTGTTAATTATTATATTTCTGTGTGCTTTATTTTCATTATGCTCTTTTTTAATTCTTGCAGCCTGTTAAGCATTATCATCTCGGAGATCAGGTACATGAACCTGTTCGTGATAAGAATTCGAGTATCGCATCAGATTTGGAGTACGGTTCCGCTATATCAGGACGTATAGGTTTGGTAACTGGAAGAGTGGTTGATAAAGCTAAAGATTCAGGCTATGGCAAGCCCTGGTATGCATCTAGCAGTGAAATTGCTGAGAAGAAGAATGGTTTTGGCCTGAAACACGGACACGAAAGCCATGCTGCTCATGATAATCCCGTTATTCCTGACTCAGCCCCTCTGTTCAAGCAAAAATCGGCTATCTCTAACTCTAACGGGATGAGTGGGGACTGGAAGGACACCGAGGAGGAGGAGTTTATGTGGGAGGAAATGAATTCCAGATCAACTGTTCGTGGCTCTGCTGATGCCTCAACTAAAGATCATTGGACACCTGATAATTACGAAAGATTGGTAAGTGTACATTTTATGCCTTGAGTATATGTTAACATTCTGCATATGGTTATTTTCTCAACTGTGTAACAGTTGGATATTTCACTTTCTACAGTTTATTTTGAGAAAAATGGGCTGCATTCTCACTTTCTCCAACCAATTATTGATCTTTCGCAGGACTACGACAGTCATCTCCAAAGGTCTCAAAGTTTGCACGATAATGTAACAAGGGACGATGATGAAGCCTCAGCCGATTCTATGTTCTTGGACCCAACTCAAGTAATCCCCAGGACCCAATTACCTGTTTGGTCATCACATAAGTCACATCCACCAGAAGGGAGGATAGCATCAGCTACTGTAAAAAGTATACCGAGCTATTCTACTGGGAAAAGCTCTCAAATTATGTCGGCCAAGGCACGTCTGGCTCCATCTCATGTTGCACCCTCGAACTTAAAGTTGTCAACAAGTATGACACCTGGACCTCGTATGCATCAACGCCCATCATCACCTTCTTTAACCTCACATGAGCTTAAGAGCCAGCTACAGAACAATTTTCCTGAGCGCAACCGAGCATCCACTGGCCTTCCTATGGATCCAAGAAGGCCTGTTCGGCAAAGGAAAGATGCTACTGCAGCAGCAGCCCAATTGAGAAATCCGGAATCTTCTGGTCAACTACATGATGACTCGTTGCATTCACAAATTCCTGGCGGCTCTGAAAACCGATCGACTGTGGGTAACTCGTCATCCGACCAATCGAATCCTCTCACAGTCGACTCCCCAGGAAAATCCATTACCAGCAATTCGTTTGATGCTGTAGGAAAAAGTAGAATGTCAAAGAGTAGTACCATCTCCAGTATTAGCTTAAATAAGCCGAGCCCTCGAGAAGATTTGCCGGGATTAACCTCGAACCTCCCTGAAAAGACGCCTATCGCAGTTGACTCCTCACCTAATCCTGTTTCGAACCTTCTAAGCACTTTGGTCGCAAAAGGTTTGATAACCTCTTCGAAATCCGATCCTCCCAAAATAGCTGATCAGCCCATAGATAGAGTATCTATGTCTACAAGCTCAGGTCCAAAGCCTCTCACACCTAAAAAAACTGACGAGCCATCCTCATCTGAGCCTGCTGCTGTTAGTACGCCCGAGTCACCACCAAAAATAAAAAATCTCATTGGTTTCGAATTCAGGCCAGATGTGGTCCGTAATTTCCATTCGGATGTGGTAAATGATCTTTTTACCGATGTCCCGTATCAATGTACCATATGTGGTCTCAGGCTTAAACTCCAAGAACGGCTCGATAGGCACATGGAGTGGCATGCATCAAGATTTCCCGAGGAGAATAATGATAATAATAATAATAAAAGTAATAATAATAATTCGAGGATTTGGTACACAAATGTAGTCGACTGGGTCGCGAGAATTGATCCTCTGGAAGATTCTGGATGTTCTGATGATGACATGCCGGAAGCAGATAAAGGGCCTTTGGTCCCTGCTGATGAGAGCCAGTGCGCGTGTTTTTTGTGTGGGGAGTTGTTTGAGGACTTCTACAGCTGCGAAAGGGATGAGTGGATGTTTAGAGGGGCTATTTACTTGACCGACCCATTGAGTTCTGGTGAGCTTCCGAGTCCTATTATAGTTCATGCGGACTGTGTAACAGAGGATTGTGTTCGCGACTTGGGGCTGGCTTGTGATGTCAACTTGGTAAGTATAGTTACTTTAATAAAAATAATTACGATACGGCGTCAAAATAGTTACATTAAAATGAGCTATTTCTCATACTTTGATAATTTTGGTGGGGAATTTTTATTTGCAGGATTTGGAGGCTATGCCTTAAAGGGGTCTCAAGGGCATGGCTATTGTGAAAGCAAGTTTGATAGCATTAAAGTATGTGGAAATGTTGCATGCTTTTTAATAGTGCATTGGGGCGCAGTAAAATTTTGTATGGTCACAGTAATTGAGTAATTGAGCTCAGATGAGATTGATTATGATTGCTGGTTATGATTGTGCACTTTGTGAGATGTGTTCACTTTATGGGAGTTTTTCTTAGTTCTCTTTTTGTTTTGTGTAAATTGGAGGAAATAGAAATTATATAGGATATGGCAGATGGTTCGTATGCAATTATTGATATACTCTGTTGTCTTTTCTCCATTGTCATCTCATAGTAATTGCAGTTTTTTAATCAGCTACAGGCTTACATGAGTTTTAGCTGAACTTGGAATGAAATGCTGAAGGAGTGTGTGAATTTCGGTTAAAACAGAAGTAAACGAAAGATTTTTTGTTCGTTTTTTCCTGTATAAATTCGGTTATTAGTTTCCATTTTCAAATTATTGGTTATTTCCTATTTGGTTTGGTTTGGTTTGTGTTCATGATATCCGAAATATGTGTATATATGTTGATAGTTTTCACATAGGAAATATGAATATCAAGCAATACTAGATGAATAAGCCCAGTTCATCTATGCTGTAGATTCTAACATCTATTTGGTTATCCCATTGAACTAAATAGTTATGTTGGTTCTGCTTCTGGTTCGATTTTCANAAATCAGTAAACCCGGTCTTTCCAAAGGTGCTCCAACTTTGACTCTTCCTGTTTTCTTTGATGGTACATACAAGCCAAACTTTTTTTTTCTCAATCGTATTTGTGTTTACTTTACTACTCAGTTAGACCTAATGAAAAAAGTTGGCTTTTGATTAACTCACTTACCACGTATAGAAGTCCATTACAATTGAAAGTGCCGATTATAAGGAAATTATATTTTATTTTTTCACAAATTCTGTAAAAAATCATACTTTTTGAACAACAAATACATAGTTATACAGAGAAATGTCATACTTTTGTTTATTTTATTTTTAAAATTGCTGTTTGTATATGAAATATGCAATTCTAACTCACACGGCCAAATGTTTGCTGATCTTAAGCATGGAGAAGAAAGTCCATGGTTATCTTTTGCTCCGTGATAAGTGCATGACCAATCTATTGAAATGTCTCTTTTCAATCCCTTAAAAGATGCTACCTTCTAACCAAACATTATAGGTGCATCATTAAATCGCCTTTAAATCAAGCTATCATATAAGAACCATCCCAAAGTCCAAATTATTCTAATCAGCAGTGTTGCTGCAGGGAATACCTAATTTAATAAGTAGTCTTTTACGAACAACATAAGTAAAAATAAAAGTATGATAAATCACATTAATATTGCATTTTGTTTCAAAAGCATGATTGAAATATCTTATCATCCTTGCTATGTTTTTAATACCTCAAGTTTACATAGTTTTCGCTTTTGCTATTTAGAATTTGAATATAATCAATCTTGCTGCTTTAAATTACTTTCATCAATCATATTTGGTACTTTTGAATAGTTAATAAATGTTTGATCGAAATCTAGCCGTTGTATTTTCATAAGAAAATTTTATTTTAAACATATATCGGTACAACTCAAACTTTTCAACTTCTGTAAACTTTCCATTTATCCTTTTGCAATTTATATCAAATCCGTAATTCTTCTGTTAGACTGTCTAACCACTAGACAACCATACTCTTTCAACATATATCCATACTTGCACACTCAAATGTTATACTTTATAATAACAAAAATATATCATTTCAAAGAATAAGTATATATTTCTCATACGACAATACGACTATCTAACGAGTATACATCCTACTAACTTTAACATTTGTGTTTCTAAATTACCTACAGAAGTATCTTATGAGTTATATCTAAATTTCATAATGAAACCATAGTATCTTAGTTTCAAATTTCAAAATTGAAACTAAAATAATTATTTTCCAATTCCATTTAAATTAAATAAACCAAGGGCCCTTTCAAATTAATCAGCACCCCACCCCTATCCTCCCTGTCACAACAATTTTTGTCCACATTTCCAAAGTCTTAACTCACAAATATTTCATTTTTTCAAATTACCATAAGTAGCTCATGACCTGGCCAATAAACTCCAAAATTCCTTTCTCAAACGCCAAACACTAAATTTGTTATTCAGTTACAATGTACTGCAAGTTTGACCGCAAAAACTGTTGGACAAGTAAAGCACAAAACACACACACAAACACATTTCAACTCAAAAAACCTTCAATAATAACTCCATTCTTTTTGTTCGGCATTCCTCTGTTTCTTTGTTTTCCTCCAAAACTTCAATCTTATTATTTTTCCCTTTTCGCCTTTTCGAGTCGTAAAATATGCGAAGCATTGGGATTTGCCACGGCGAACAATCCGTCAAAGTCTCGAATTCTCACGGCCCGTCGACCCCTCCACAAGCCGCCTCGTCGAGCTCGATCGTCTCCACGTACAAAGTCAAGCTCTCGACCGGTGAAAGCCTCGTCGTCGAGCTCACTTGGCACGAAACCATATCCAAAATTACCATTTTGCCCTCGGCCCACGACCAAGCGGCCCGAAACCACATCATTTTGCGCGAGGCCCAAGGAAAGGAGCGCTTACCGGGCTCCGAGATCGAGGTCCATTGGGACCTCACTCGGGCCGAGTTCGGGCCCGGGCCCGAACCCATATCCGAATTCTACATAATGGTCGTGGTGGGCTCTGAGCCGGGCCTAGTCCTCGGGGACTTGGGCCCGAAACCGGACGATTTACCGAGAAAGTTCAAATTGGTGTCTCGACTCGAATTTGTTCTCGGGAGCTCGTGGCGCTCGACCGGGGTTCGGTTTTCGGGTGACGGGAGGCGACACGACGTGTCGGTCGAGTTCTCGGGAGGTGACGTGTCAAGAAAATCGAGCCTCTCGGTTCGTGTGGATGGGAAGAGTGTAGTCGAGGCGAAGGGTTTGGGGTGGAATTTTAGGGGGAACCAAACGGTGTTCTTGGATGATGGATTGGTTGTGGTGGATTTGATGTGGGATTTGTATGGGTGGTTATTCGGGCCGGTTTTGTCGGGCCGGGCCGTGTTCTTGTTCAGGACGCGGGCCGGGCTGGACAAAAGGCTTTGGCTCGAGGTGGAAAAGAATGGTGTGAAGGATGATGATGATGATTTTGGGTTTTCAATGGTGGTTTGTGCATGTAAGAATAATCCGGATTGAATAAATTGATAATTTTATTTGTGTGTAATTTTTGTTAACTTTATTTATTTATTTATTTATTTGGTGTTCCCATTTAGTTTTATGTGGTATAACTAGTTAATAAGCTTGCTAATAGCTCATAACCTAGCTTATAGTTTATGAGTGATTTTTCGAACTTATATATCTTATAGCGGAAAAATTAGCTTACATCATAAAAGTGTTCTAGCTGAAATAAAAATTTTAATGAGCTTATCTGAAAAACTACACAAAGAATCTTATGAGATAAACTTGTGATTTTTAAAAACGCTTATCCTTTGAAACAAAATTTATTTGAATACAGAAAGTTTATAAGCTAATTAAATAAATTATATATTATTTGATTACCAAATATAACCTTATTTAGGTTGCTTGCATAATTTATTTTTTTCGAAACACGGTTCATCAGCCCTACTTTTTAAGTAAAAATTTTGTATTTAGTGTTTATGTGGTAACATACTAACATATATTATATCTTAATATGTATTATTTATTTGGGTATGACATTTCGTTACAAAATCATTTGTTGAAATAGTATATTATATTATTATAATCGTGACAATTGTTATAGTTGGCTTAAGTTGCTGAAAAAGTTAAAAAGTTACTTTTTTAAACACGGCCAATCAACCATACTTTTCAAAAAAGAACTTATAATTATGTTGTAACATGTTACATCCAAATTCGTGTTGTTTTTTAGTAAGATATTTGAAATTATGTATATTTGTTAAAATAGTATATTATAATGGTGACAATAGTGTTTTTTGAAATATGAATCTATTATCTGGCCAATTTTTAGGTCAAAATCATCACCTAAAAAGTTTGATGTAATACTATTATGCACGGGACTCATCTAACAAAAACTATTTTCAACAAGGACTTGTTAACTACTACCATAGAGCTAATTGCCACTTGTTATCCATCTTATTCATCATATATATCCTTTTGTTGTCTTCATTATTATTGAAAACAATTGTTTCATGAAATACTTTAGTTAGATCAATACTGTTATGCATTGGAGAGTGTCTGAAATTTATTATTGCCAATGTTTTATATAATTTTATAGCTTCATCCTAATTATATAGTCCTATAATTCACAAACTTACACCAACTAGACTTTTGACATTAAGCAACAATATTAAACACCAAAATCTCTTTATGGAAGAAAAAAAAAAAAGCGGATGCTTTAATCTCTGTTTACAAATTAGAATAATGTTTAATGTCGAAGTCAAGTAATATAAAGGTCATGTTTGGATATTAATTAGGATTGAGATAAAATTAGCGCATTGGTCCTCATTTAGAGGTTTCACCCTCAAATTTGTTAATTAGTTTAATTAATTTTTCAAATCCAAAACTCTAATTCTGAAATTTAATAGAAAGGCGTTTTGAGTAGAGAGAATTTGTATAATAACATCTCAACAAATACAAAAAAACATTCTACAAATTATTTTTTATAGATCAAATGAT